CCTGTATCCCAGGGGAGTGGGGAGGAGGCAGCGGCTAATAGTGGGAAGGTGTTTCAGTGCCAGGGGTGTCTGCTAGGATTTGAGACGATGAGCGATTTGACATATCACACACAGCTTTGCCCTAAGATACAGGTCTTATCTGCCATGCAAGGCGTAAATTATGTAACCTGGTAGTTTATTGTAGTTAATTGGTCTTTTTGATCAGTTTTTTTAGATTTTAAAGGAATATATAACTAATTTTTAATGAAAAAAAAATGACCAAACACTTTATTGGCTTAAGACAGTAAATGATACTTAGACCAAGTGCAGATAAACCTATTTTACTAGCTGGATCAATTCAACTCTGTGACGATTCTCACTGAAGTGCATTCAGTGAAATAAGCTTAATTGCCTGACATGCATCTTTAAGTAAAAGAGCTTCAGATAGCCGAGCGTGCACAATAGTTAATTACCGCTTTGCTAATCAATGAGGCCTCTCAGACAATTAAGTTGGTTACACAGACTGCACTTAAGTGAGAATCCCTTTAGAGTTGGATCTAAGAAGCTAGTATCATAGGTTTATCTGAATGCTCCCTAAGCAAAGGAGAAAAAACACATAGAGCTGGTCTCTCTCTGTGCTCCCCTTTTACTTAGTTGATCAATCTCCGTTTTAATTGTGCCAGTCTTTCTGTGTGATTGTTAACTGATTTGGTATAATGCTAGCCTCCAAATGTACATGTTATATGTACTGTACAGTGAATACTTGTCAAAATGAATGCTGCGCATATATATATATATATATATATATATATATATATATATATATATATATATATCTTAAAGGAGGTATTTTAAACTTTATGATCATTTATGTCAATATGTTGTTGCTTGCATAAAACATGTTAACAAAACTTTTGTTATAGGTGGAAGTGTGGTGATTGCGTAGCTTTTAACAGCAAACGGTGTCTTTTTTGGGGGGTAATACTACTATACAGCACTTAACAATGGAATTTAGAAAGAGTCAAAAGTTGGCGTTGATGAGATTTTTTTTAGAAATATTCAGTCATAAAAAGTATTACACTTAATTAGATCAAAGGAAATTATGGTTGATCCAAAATTTCTCTCTCTCTCTCTCCCATGTTGCACTGCTGGTCATGTGAATTGTTATCTTTACAAGGTTTATGTTTTCAGTATTCTTTTAATTTTGTTGTACTGAGGTCCACTTAATGAAAATATTTTTGATGGAATTCAGTAATTCAGAGGGTAAATTGTTAAGATAATTTATTTTAATGAGCAAATAGTCTTGTAATTATATTTATATAGCCTATCATAAGCATTTGATGTTTAATTGATGGTCAAAGTTAATGGACTTATGTAAAACATATTTAGATAAAAATTGGTTTGCAATTTCAGCACAAAAATAGCATTTTATTTAAAATTAAGTGAACTAGACAGCAAAGCTGGCAAACGTGCAGAGACCAACCATTAAAAAAGAAAAAAAAAAAAACGAAAAGAAGGAAAGAAAGATGCCAATTGGACAGACATGATAGTGTAAATGTCAAAATTGGAAGTAGCAGCGACATGAGACCTTAACTTCATATTCACAATTTGAAAAGGTCAATTTATTAAAATAAAGAAATCACAAACGATTTTTTAAAAAAATTTTTAAAAAAGTCTGGCAGTTATAGGGAAATGTTGCCCAAAAAAAGAAGCAAAATAAAAAAAAATCAATAACTTTTATAAAAATAATATGAACATTCTGGTTTCCCAAGGAAAGAAACCTTTTTTTCAACAAACAAAGCCAATCTTTAAATTTTAAGTAATAAATATAAGCAAAAATACAGCATGGCAGATGTGTCACAAGTTGATAGTACAGATAGAGATATTGGGCAGAATATCTACTCAGTTTATATATAAAAATTTAAAACATGCATACTTTGTTTATAACTGTGGTTTATTTGTCATTGGTACATTTTCATAATTCTTTTGATTTGAGAATAATGGAAATCAAGTCCACTTTATACTCTGTAGTGTCATATAAAAAATACATTCAGTATTTTGCATAATACATTACAAAGAAGGATTCAAAGCCATATCAAGAAATTTATCAGCTCAGAATTTGTAACAGGTCTGTTCTTTCATTTGCCACATAATTTCTAGGTACTTTATTTCTGACATCAGCCACCGACTTCAGACTTGGGTTCTTCTCTACTAACAAAGCCATGCAACCACTGTGCCCATTTTCTGCAGCCTAAAGAAACAGAAGACTGGGATTAACAGATTTCTACATGGGTAACCACACTTATGAAAAACATTAAACTGAAAGGATAAAAAGACAAAGTCATATACCTGTACTTTCACATAATCTAATATGTTATTAGACAAAAGACAAAGATGCAACATGGCAACATCATTACTATTTGCTGCATGTAACAAATAATTTCTAACGAAAGATATTTTTTGTAACATTACATAAATAATTTTTAGGTTATGCAAACTTTTCAAAATCAAGTTACTGGTATCTAAATACCTTATGCAATGCTGTCTTCCCATCAGAATCCACCATGTCTTCCCTAGCTCCATACTTCATTAAAAGCTGCAGAATGTCCTGATGTCCACAGTATGCAGCTCTGTGTAAGGGGGTAGCAGCTCCTGCCCTGGTCTGGACATTCACACTGGCACCACTGGTCAGCAACAGCTCACACACAGCCAGATGACCATTTCTGCTGGCATAATGCTTAAATGAAATATATACGATAAGAGTCACACACGGTGTGTATGTGTGTGTGTGCATGTATGTGTATATAACATAAATACTGAATTATATATATTAATTATTAATATGTATGAAAAAATGTAAATATATATAGTGCAGTATATATAAGTCCTACAAAATGTAACTATAACTTGTGTAATGTTCAAATTTACTTGTGTATAGGCAGACCAATTCCTGGACTATAAGAGCAACTAAAAACATGGTGATGACCACAGCTGGACTCTATTTTCAAATTTTAATCTAAATTACCAGAGCTGTGTATCCAGAATTGTCTTGCGTATTGACATCTCCTCCTTTGTTTAAATAATCAGCCACCTTCTTGACATCACCATCCATCGCTGCGCTCCAAATGCCACGACTAAAATCCAGTTCATCGAGGGTTTGAAACACTGAAGGCGTACCTGTGGCGTGTGAACAACACCCGTGGTCCTCGCAGTCGAAAACATCGTGACGTTGGTGAAACTGCCGGTGTTTTGCACTGGTACTCATTTTCTTCGGTTCAAATCACCAAACGTTCATTTTAATGATGGTGGTCTGCGTGGACTTGACGTTCAGGTATACGTAGTTATGCCGTATTAAAGTATGACTTGCTTTAACAATAAATCATTTCTTTACCTGAACACCGCCGCTTCGTCACTGGTCAGGGCAATAAATCTCCACCGGAAGTTGTGCTACATTGTTTACTACTTCCGCAGCAAACCGATGCTTTTCCTTTGGATTCATATTTGAACAACTTTAATGAAGCCGAAAGGTATTCATTATGTATGAACAAATACAAACAAAAACTTGAAAGACTCTTGATCGAATGTTAAATTTTACTACAAATTATAAAAACTCCGCACTGCATGAAATGACGTCATCATCTAGCAGACGAAGTCATCATGACCGCAGTTACAGGGAATCTTGTAAATCAAATGAGAGAACTTCAGCGAGGTGTATATTGTACATTTTCGTATATTTGTTGGTTGCTAAGTAAAGTAGGTTTTTATAAAAGATTGCCATGTTCTTAACTATTTGATGTAACGTAAACAAAATGAAAAACTTCACCAGTTTGGATTACACCCCTGCAGGCAAACGTCATTGATTCAACGTTGATCCACCAAAATTAACGTTGATTCAACGGTGAATCAATGTTGTTTGTCTGCTGAGACTGCCCGTCAAACTTGGAAAAATAGATAATTAAAACAATAAAACACTTAAATACATGTACATAGGTGGAAATACTATTTTTATCACGTTTCAGAGAAGGCACGCCTGGATGGTAAACTTACCGATGTCCAAAAACAGAGGAGTGCATCAGAAAAGTCATTGGCACTGGGTAATTAGTTCATTATATTATTATTTCTATAATGATTTTATTATATCACCATTATATTTGAATAAGGATCGAATGTACTTTTAAAATCACCAAAATTAATAAGGTAAATTATCCAACTCATTTATGTGAATTAAGAATAGTAGAGACAGTGAAGAAAGTCACCTGGCTTTAAAAATATGTTGAAATTCAAGGACTAGTAATTTTGGGGGACTTGCATGTATTAAAGTGGGTGGCACATTATTTGTATTCATGATGTATGTCTAAAGGCTATTGATTTTGCAAAAGTATTAATGTTCTTTAATAGAGCAATCCTTTTCTTTTTCAGCAAGAAAGAAATACCAACACGAAAAAGAAAAAAATGAAATGATGAAAGGTAAACATTTCTATTGAATGTTATGAGTAGATGTATATTAAATTTTGATCAAATTGCAAATTATTTTTCTTAAAGGTTTAATTTATTAATTTATTCATTTACTTATTTATTAAAAATTAGTATATGTAATATATCTTTCTCTTTTAGAAACCCTCAAGGTTGCAAAACACAAAATTGCTCAAACAAGAGAACAGATGAACAGGTGGAACAGTATTTACAATTTCCAATTGCAATTTATGTTGTGGTAAAAAGATAAACATAACCTTTTACGCTAAAAAGTAAAATTGTTTCTAACAGTTTTTTTTTAGATCTAATTAAATTATATCATCTTGTACATGTATGTGTGTGTAATTTTTCATAATTACTTATTCCCCGTACTTTGAAAAAAGTTTAAGGGGGAATTTTATTATGATTTTTCAAGGGCAGCTAGACCAATAATAATAATAAAGCACTCTCTTTATCTGTTAAAAGCTTTGAAAATGCCATAAGTCAAAGGAGAAAAATTTTATCAGATTTAACCTTGAAAATTCAAGAAGTGGAGCAACAGCATTTAGATGGCATGTAAGTGTAGAACCTGATCTTGGTAAGCTAGCTAGGAGGTTGGAAATGAATGGTTTCTGATTGTAATAGAATGCATATCTTTGATTTACAAAATAATGTTAAATGTTGATCATACTTAAAAGAAAAGTTGTTATAAGTATGGTTTTGATTGTAATGATCTCAGCTAGTATATATTTACAACATTTATAACAAATTAAAAGTTAACATTATAATTTGATTTTTTTTATACATGTATGTAATGGCAATCTACTTCCTTACTCCATTATTTTGTAAAAAAAAATCTTCCCATGATATATTAATTTTTTTATTTCAGCTTAATAATTTTTAAATTTCCATATCGGATATGAATGCCGAAAAAGAATGAAGCTTGATTGCAGTTCTAAAGTTCTAAGTACAGTTCATAAAAGCAAAAAAAGTTAATGATATACAAAATATATAATTATATGTTGTAAATATTAAATCCATCGATCTACCTAATATTTCTCAACATACCTATTTCTGATTTTCCTTGGATAGTCATGAATATGAAGAAAAACTGGATCAGCTGGCAGAAAAGTTCAGTAAAGCAAAGAACTACTTCGTGAGTTTCAGATTTATACCAATTGCCATATTTTATCTACATATTGACTTGTATATAATGTTTATAATTATCCATTTACCAGTAGAAAATTGTTGAATTATTGAAGGGATGAGGATTTTACTGGACTAAGAGTTCATGGAATGAAAATGGTTTTCCTCCCTAAATACCACTTTAATTCTTTCCTGCTCAACTTAAGTCATTCATACTTTTTATGTTAATTTTCCTAATGATTTGTGTATTAATTATTCATTTAAAACATAGATGTGAAGATCTGAATTGAAATTCAGTCTTATGTGTAACAGTATCATTATTGGCTTCATGACCACTTGCATCGTCAACCTATCAAACAAGTCTTTGTATTATCAAAGCAAATTTTAAGACATTAAGACAGCAAAAATATGTCAGTCCATGACATATCACAGTTATGATACTATGTCATTATTTTGCAGACCAAGAAAAGTCTTGAGAAAGAATTGCAGAAAACAAAGCAAGCTTATTCAGTGCATATTGAAAGTAGTAAGTTTTCTTGGTTTTTTATTTATTTTGATATTTTATTCAGTCTCGAGATATATTGTATGCAATTCTTAATATACATTTGTAAGTATAAATTTTTCCTGACAAATATGCTGATTTTTATAAATTATTAATGTGGGCCTAGGTATTGATTTATAAATTATGTATTATAATTTCTATTGATTTTCATTTTCAAAGTCCAAGTCCTCAACTCTGACATTGAGAACCTGACCAAAAGTGTAGAAGATTTGGAGCTGCAGTGTGAAGCACTAGACGAAATAGAACAGAGATTTCTTGTTGACTTTCCGAAAGAATTCCAGAAAGATATCATGTAAGTTGAAGTGAGTCTGATTTTGAATACTGACAGGCTGAAATTGAGAATAGCATTATCAATAACTGAAAAAATGTGGGTTTCTGTCAGAAAACACTTTCAAAAAATATACTCGCTGGATCAGAATGAATTGTCTTTGTTGTCTGTATATACATGTTCGGTGTAGTTGCAATAGATCTTGTCATGATTTCTTTTCAAGTTGAGGTCACTTTATATTTTTGTTATAGCTAAAGACTGTTTACTGTACACTGTGTATTTTAAAAATTACAAATTTTCAGAAATATGTTTAAAGATGAAGAAAGTCTAGCTCATGAAGAGACATTGAAGTTGCAGAAAGACTTGGATGCTGCTATGGCAGAGCTTGATGAATACAAAGAAAAAGATCTGGAGATAAACACATCAGCAGCTTGACTGTTTTTTATGCTTTCCAAAATTTGACAGGAGAGAACATACATATATATAAACATGAAATATAAAATATATTGACTTGCCTCAAAACAAAAAAGAAATGAGAAAGGCATTATTATTATATTCTGACAGCAGTTTTATTCTCAGTATTATAATTCAGAGATTATATTTACAATATTTACAATTGTGGATCACAGTAAACTCGTTCAGAATAATTTAAACATTTACACATAACATGTAGAAAAATAAATTTTGAAAGAAGCTAAATCCACAGTTTTATTTTGTTATTTCAAGTTGCTGTTCATTCAAGTAAGACAACTTAAGTTTTGAATTCTAGTGAAGACGACAAAATGTCACAACTGTTCCACTTTTGATAAATCCATGTGTTAAAATTCCACTGATAAATAACCCACGCTTTTCTTTAAAGTCAAAATAATACATTTATAAATCTTTCTCAGCTTGGTTTCTGGGTTTTTTTTTTCCAATCATTTTTAACAAGACTTGTTTTAGCCTTGTTGTTCTATACAGTTTTGACAGCAGCACATATTCTTCCTTGCATTGTCCAAAATTCTAAAATAATATTCTATTTTTGTTCCAACAAGTGAAGTCAATCTGTTTCAATTCTTTTAATTTATTAATCATCTAGAACTGTCAAGTCAATCTAAGATTCCGCAGCAAAACCGAAGGCATCATTTAATAGTGCCTGGTAGTTGATAACCTGAACTTGTTTGCTTGCCATGGTTCCCTTCCATGTCTCGTCCAGGGTTCCCTGGAAGTTAGGTGGCGCCACCACAGGGCAGTTCTTCCAGTCAAGATACTGGAGGAAGGTGTCATATTTCAGCAGACCCTCCTGGTTGATTTCACACCTGAGAGGAAGACAACAAGGAATGTGAATAACTACGATTGATAATTTTAAAATGCTACTTATTTAAAATTAATCTGAATGCTGAGACTGCAAAATTCAGTGCTTCCCTCCATTGTTCACAGTATGATTAAATGTTTGAAACATAACATTATTAGACATCAAGTTGAAGTAAAATAAACAAACTTTAATCTACATTAAATTGTCACTGTCATGCATGTAATAATCCTATAGAAACACTCTAAGTTCTGAATCAGATAAAGATATTTTGAAAAATGTAAATATGTCCATATCTCTATGAACTAAGCTACTAGAATGATCACAGTGGCTATACTTACTTAGTCATGAGAGCCCACACTAGATCTCTGGGCACTGGCAATCTGAGAGCTTTGCAGGCTGTCATCACTACCTCAGGGTGAAGGTAACCACACCTAGAACACGAAAAAAAATATTTAAGAACTCTGAATTTACAACCGATCCAAAAAAATTCTGAACTACCAATTAAATTGACTAACTGTGTCAGGAAATGAAATTAGTTGTAATGTATTTTGGGCCAGACTTGACATATATTTAATTTTAAAAAGGCACTGTAATTTTTGCAAATCAACCTATACAAAAAAAGAAGTGCCAGCATATGTAATTTTGCTTAATCTTGACTACTGGTATTTATATTGTGACAAAAAGCCATCATAAAGTATAACTCACTTGTTGGCATCAGCCTGTAGCAGGCCATCAGGCAGTTTGTTAATATTGATATCAAAGTTGTGTTTCCTCAGCAGATCTTGTATGATGTAGGCCAGCGTGTTCAGGTCAACCCCGTCATCATCCTTACGAAGCATGTAATGTCTGAAATGTAAAACAATAAAATGTTGCAAAAAATAATAACAATTAAAAGTTGTTCTGTTTTTATTTATATATCTCCAACATTTTCCCCCCATTTTTATAAAGAAAAGAAAATTTAAAATGCTGCTGTATCAAAATTAGGAGACTTTCAGTGATGGGCAGGAAAGTGGGAGGCTCATCTTCCTCTGCATCCATTCCCTGCTTCTGTCACATTGTAATCTCTAAATGTTTTGTTATATTGTTCTATATATTTACCTCCCAACTGTCATTATCTCATGCTCAGCCAGCCTGTTTTCTGAAAGCTGCATAAGAAGGTTTCTGAACTGCTCGTACTGGACATTGCCTGTGTTGCTGGGGTCATTACGCATGAAGAAAGACTTGACTTCTTCAGTTTTGCCCTTGGAGAGCTCCTTCAGTTTCTCAAAGATTCTGTCAACGTTGGCTTGTGGGAACTAAAAAGTAACATAATGATAATTTTATATAAAAAAAATTAAACAGAGATACCAGTATACTCATTTAAAAAACATCCCTTGATATTTGCAGATTCAAAAAAGGAGAATGAAAAAAAAAAACACAGAATGACATTTAAAAACCAATCGAAAGAAATATCTTTGATTAAATTTGATTTTAACACTGGATGTCAATCACTAAAGGATCAATGAAAAAAAGAACATTTTCAACTGTATAAGATTTCCTCAAAATGAAAAATAATACCATCAAATAAAGAAAAAAAAAAATTTTCAAGTCCTCACCTCATCACTGTGTTGCTCCATGTACCTAAATGCATATTCATCAGCATCAATGAGCAGGAACTTGTGGTTGTTGAAGATGACCAGTCCTCCTACATACAGATCTGGTGCCATGTAGTATTCGGACAGCCGTGTGCTGTATGGAGGCTGGTCGGGCTTCTTCACGCGGCCACGCTCCAGGAATTTGCCACCAATGATGCCTGTGAAAAAAAGGGAGGAAAATCAACAAACTGAATTTCATGCACTGGATTCTTATTATTAAATCATTAAAAGAAAGAAGAAACATTAAAGAATTTTACATGATATGATTTATTTCTAATTAAAGACTGCTTTTTATATATTCAGTTTATTTACAGGGGATTTTTTAATGGGGTTTTTACATTTCCTATTATGAAACTTGCATTAATTATTGCTTTTTTTAAATTTTGAATAAAAAGTTTGACAATTAAGTAATGCTCAGTAATTTCTTTTCAAAATAAACCAATAAGAAGAAAATAAATTTAATCTAATAGGAAAATAACCTACCAGAGTTCCTAACAGGAGGCTCAAACACCAATATAGTGTCATCAGACAGGAAATAGGAGATGATGAAGCGACGGTCCATATCGATGGGCTTTGTGGTATCCATTCTAGCCAAGAACCGTAGTACATTGCTCTCCAGTCCGTGGCGATCCTTCTCCATGAATTTGACGAAATCTCTCCTGGGTGGCTTGGGGATAAGGCCCATGCAGGAACACAGAGAGTCCTCCTCACTGCCAAACCCATTGTATGGAGGCATCTCTCTTGCCCTACGGCCCTGGGGGGTACCCTTGTACTGAATGGGTGTAAAGTTGTCTGTAATTGGAGAAACATTTTGTCAGTAAATTTTTTAGCTTTATTACAATGGTTAATCAAAATGTTTTTCAGTTGCTGCAGAGTCAAAAATGTCATGCCAGATATGGTTTCATTTCTTTTTTAATATGATATTGAAATAATGAATTATTACTCAGCATTTACTGTTTACAAAAACTGAATATATAGAAATTAAAAAAAAAATTATTCCAATGGTATCCTATTTTTTAAAAGCATTTCAATTTAATTTTAAAATATTACATATAATCTTCAGAAAGTATGTAAAAAAAATCACCTTTCAAAGTAATGATAAAATATGAAATAAGATGCATGGCATATATTTGAAAATAATAATTAAAAAACTTAACCTATATAATACTTACTGATGCCGTACTTGGTCCTGTAGTACTCCTTGGTGAAGTCATCAGCGTCACAGAGCAGGATCTTTCTCCCCCAGGCGCTGACCACTGATCCAATCATCAGATCACTGTCCTTGTAGAACTCCTCGTGGACAGCACCAGTCTGGACAAGAAAATAATACATATATGGTTGAACACCATTTGTTTGAATTGTCTAAAGTACTAACAGGTACCAGGGCATGTGCCCCCAATTTCTTTATATTTTTTTTTCATTCACAGACATGCCAAATGGAATAAAATAAATAAATAAATAAATAAATAAATAAATAAATAAATAAATAAATAAATAAATAAATAAAAAAATAAATAAAAACTTCTAGGTCTATGCAGTGCGAAAAAAAAAATATATATAAATACATATGTGTGTGTATTATCTGTTTTTCATGTGCTTTTTCAATATGCTAGAAACATTCAAATTAACCCACGCCAAAATGGTTTTCACCAAAAGAGAATAAACTCACCTTCAGACTGTCCAGTATGTACCTTCCACCATGTCCAGTTGGTCCAAAGACATTCAGGACAGTGCGGTCAGTTTTCTCACCAGGCTGGCGTAGACTGGACACCTCCTTAGGCAGTCTGGCCCGACGCAGGAACATTGGAGCGGCATCACGTCCAGAGTTAGCCTGAATGATCTCACGGATTTCTATTGTATCATCAGCAAGGAAATAGTGAAGGACCATCTGTCTAGGGTCACCAAACATGCTGTCGGTGTCATCCCAGTGGCAGTAGAAACGCAGGACATGACGGTCATGATCGAGAAATTGTTTGAGGGTGTCGTACTTCTCATATGGTCTCATTGGCTGCATAGACTCATCCATCTATTAAAATATGTAAGTGATGAATATAATGCGATGATGCTTTAACTTTTAAAAAATTGTTTGAAAGAGTAATTTTCATTTTAAAAAAAAGAACTAAATTAAAAATTGAAACAATACATTTACATTATTACTGAGTGCAGTTCATAGTACTTAGATTAACCGAAGAAAATACAAAATAATCAATTATCATAAAAAAAAAATTTGCTTAGCACATGAAACAACAAAAAATTAATTAAATAATATAATCTAATGACTTAATAATATTTATAAAAGTTAGTGTAATACTTACAGCTTTCCTGTACTTGGTATAAGGGTCAGCTGGTACAGCCTCTGGAGCATTTACCTTCACTCCAAGTTTACGGAGGAAATTGTGTGTAAACTCATCACAGCCTGTGATCTTGAATATGCGAGAGTAAAGGTTCACCTCATTGCCCACATTGAAGTCTTCCACGGTGTAGAATGTGTCGTCATATGGAGCAGGCCTGGGTATTCTGTGACGGCGGATAAGGGTTCCTGGAAATTTGTTTGAAAGGGTATAAATAACTGAATCACATGCTAGTATTAAAATTTCAGAAATTTCATACAAATATGAGTTAATTCATTTGAAAATGCACTTACTGCAGAGTGATGATCTGTGACATACATTTCTTATTTTGGATTTGATGACTGACAACAATTTTGCAGCAAATACAATTTTATGTACACACTGATAATGCTGCTAATCTATGCACTGGTATACCAGTATTAACAATGTACATGTAATTGAATGACTAATAATTTCAATCATTCCATTTTTATATTACAATAACAACTTACCTTGAGGAACACCTGCATTTTTCATTCTTGGCTCTATAACTTGGATGGAGTCATCTTCCAAGTAGAAATAAATTTTGCTGTTACGGATTCTATACTGTTCCTCTCTCTTCTCGTGTACAGCTTCTTGAAAATATGCATCAAAACACAAAACCTGTCTGTCAAAAGCCACCCAAGCTGGCAAATTTCCACCCTCTCCAGAAGGGAAAACGCTGTTCTTTGGTGTGATTTTCTGCCCTGCTAAAAGCTCTCCACCAATCCCAGGTTTCTCTTCACCAACCATCATAGATACTTCATTGCGATAGTCAAAGTGGTGGGATTTATGATAACGTGTTTTCCCCAGCTAGAAAAATAAAAATAAATACAAAGAGTTAACTACTTTTTAATGCAAAATTTAACAGTTATTAATTTGGTAAAATGCACTTGTATGCCATTAATCATAAAATGTACAGTGTTGGGAACTATACATAGTAGAGAAGTTTATAAAATTAAAAATTAAATTATAAATTATAAATTGAAAAATATAAGAACATAAACATTATTTTCCATGTATAAATTGCATAAAAACCAATATCAGTCGGCAGTTTTATGAGAGTTACTATGCCCTAACAGTACAAACCGGACGACGACTAAATGCATTACTTTACGAAATTGATTAGAAACTTAGAAAGTGTTAAAAGTTGCTAAGCCTAAAATACATTTCTGTCTTTCTCCATAGATACAAACACCAAAACTGTTACTCACATTAGGATTAAAAGAATTCCCTGGCAAGTTTGGTAATGCCATGCTTGCCTCTTGATTCCACAATTTCTGTAATAAAATATATTTTATGTGCTCTGCACCTTGTATACTCTGGTTCCCTGCTACACTTTACAAAATCAATGAATACATGGGCAGCGTGTTGTGTTTGTAGGTTACCATGGGAGGCGATACCAACCAATAGAGTACAGCACTACCAAGATAAGCCAAAATAGCCTCGCTACAGTTACAGCAATTTTAAGTCTGTGTTACTATATATTTTATATCTCTTCATATCTTCAAATCTATCATTAACAACAGTTTGTAAGATTCAACCAGATTTATCTATAATATTTACCATTGTGTGTCTCAAGCCATCATGTAAGCGTTTCTTGGGTTTCTTGGGTTTGGAGTTCGAAATACTCACATTCTCAAATACCCGGATTATCTGTAGCAGGCGGAAAATTTTTCTCTGCATTGTTATTTCTGTTTTTAGTGTTTTCATATTTCTGAATAGCCCTGCAATTGTAAAACAACCAAAGGTCTGGTAGATAGTTGTCAGCAATATGCCACGGGTTAAATGTCAAACAGAAATATGTAAGATACAGGATTGTTTGAAGGGTGAGTAAGTTAATAGTTACCGGTAGTCGTTGACGTTTTTGGTTACACAACTGTTGGAAAATATTTTTGTTTCATTCTCACTGTATAAGCATGATTTAGTACTCATCTAAAATCTTTTTTTTTAAAGATGATATCAACTCGCACTCTTGAATTCAAAATGAATGACAAAAACCAACAGTACCTACTTCATATACAATACTGTACATGTACATTTACCTGTCATGTACTAGTACAGTACATGTACATGTACCGGTGTATACCAGTATTCATAAGTTGCAAATTATGGAAACTACATATTAAAATCTGAGGAGATGGGCAAGTAATGATGTAATCAGATCGGAGGAAAGAGGGAAGGTTAAACCAAAATGGAACCGTATCACATAAACATTTCTAACCCATTTATCGTGTTATTGAATGGTATCTTTATTATTACTAGTAAGGCCTTTATATTGTTATTGATATACAACTAGATCACATTGTTGCTGTTTACAATAAACATTTAGATCGCAAATGCTTTAATTATGCTCATACCTTTTATTACATTATTCTTTGAAGTCATTTCGTGATGAAAAGTTTTCCATTTCTGTAGTTTATAGCATCAAATTAAATTCTAAGTCTTGCATGATCCAGTTTTTCACAGTTTCCATAATCACATACCTACTTTTTTTTTTTCAATTTCAGTCAATGACTACCAAGAAAGCAAGTGTAGAGAAGTGCTGGAGGAAGCCATCAAGTGCTGTAAACTGTGCCAGTTTGATAGTCCTGTCTGTTCAGGGTTCACACACTATAATACTGACACCTCCAAAGATAATGTAGTATCACTGGACAAAAGTGATTTTAGATTATATAAAGAAGACCAGGACAAAAAAGTTGACTCAGACTCAAAAGAAAATAGAAAAGATGCCGGGAAAAACAAGGATGAAAAAGCCTGGAAGTTATTTTTGTGATTTTTATCTGAACATTGTGAAACTAGATGTTTTTTAACGCTAACCCTAAGGGACAGACACGGCATAGAATGAAGGGCAGTACTGTTTGCAGTCTTACTTTCTTTCTAATGCATCTTGTACTCCAGCTCAAGACATTACACAAAAAGACATGGAAGTTGTAGAGTACAACTAAGTCACCTAATGTATGGTTCAAACTTTCTTTAAGCCTACAGCACAGTAGTAACGTTCATTACATTCAGGGAATCTGACGTTGGTGACGACAACTGAAATTTTTGCTTTTTAATGATTTTATATCAAATGATTATATAATGATCAATATCCCCAACAGACATACCAGTAGAGAAGTCACTTCAGTTTATTTGAAGAAGTCAACTGCAAAAGAAGAGCATGAGAAGTGAAGATTGTACCATATTTCATGGTTGGACACAGACGAGGATGAGCCAAAATGATGAAATTGTATGCATGAACACTCCTGTTCACTTAAACGATGCAATTGTTCTATTACAAGCATTCATGGACTGAGTTTTACCTAAATTGAGTCTGTGATATTTTGTTTTGGATATACTGGATAGTTTATAAACTACAAAAAATGACTTTACATTTGTATTTGTGGTTTGTGAAGACAATAACCTTTATTTTATCTACTTTATTTTCTGTTTACATTGTAAAAGCATGCTGTAAACGTGCAACTGTAGGGGTTAAAGCAGGTGCTCTATGGACTTTTGTGAAATTAACAGTAACAAATAAAAAAAAATCATTCACCTTTTTTAATATTAAATAATGTTGTTGGATCCAATAGCACTAGAGAAGAGAAGTATGTTGGATCCAGCTGCATAATCTTGGATCTCATGGCTAATGATTGAAATAAAATGACCTTGAATATTATTATTATTTGAGGAGTGACTTAATTCTCCATTTCTGGTTATATACACTGATGGGCATCTGCTGGTGTTCTTTCATAATCTAAAATTCTGCATCTCTCGGTCGTTTTCCTAATCCCCCCCCCCCCAATTTTTATGATGAAAAAAGGTGGGATTACGCTCATACATATGCTTTCCTATTAAAGTTTAAACGGAAACAAATTGGAGTAGTGATGATAAAACGAGAAGAATTTCATTTCCCACAGCAGGTGGCAAAGTAATACCACAATATGAGGCCCAATCCATAACGGGCGAACAAAATCTGTTTTAAGTCCATTAAGCAGACTGATTTCACCCACTTGAATACTTCCCTATCTATTCAGTGTCTATTAGCGGATTAGGGTGTATTTCCAGAGATTTAGATCGAACCAGGGATTAAAATTTAGATCGACCTAACACCAGGGGGTTCACGCTAAATTGCAGTCACACGAGCGTGCACCATAGTTAATTACCCCCTTACGTCTTTAAGTAGGCGGGACAGACGCTTAAGCCGGCCAAGCTGACAGTAATCTAGTGAAACTCCCCACAGGGATAGATCGATCTAAAAATCTATGGAAATGGGGTGTTAGACGGCAAGCTTTGTAGTGGATCGCCATAATTTGACCCTCGGACTAGTTAGTCCCATAATATTCTGAATGGGGCCATTGATACGCATAGGGTTTTGCGTGTGTTTTGGGGTGGGGCCGGGTGACACAGACATTCAGCCCGCTCAATTCCTGTACGAAATCTTAAAACGGTTTTAGTTCAACCGCTGCTGACTGGGGCCGGATTAAAAATGCCCGCTTGCGTGAGAAAAGGACACCTGTGACCGATGAACAAACTTGTACATGGAATGCTCTATAAAACACCTACACTCAGGACCTTGGTCTGTGGTAGGTATTAGGTCTATTAATTCAAAATGTATTTGATTGGGAAATAATAGGACTGATTTGGCATTCTCGTTGTGACGTTTATCAACTTTTGTACTGGGTATTGTATAGTGGACGGGTTAAGTTTCCAGACATACTAGCATTCTAGGATTGTTTTGTTATGGTTTCATTATCACAATTATTTACTCTGTTTTAGATACGTTGATTCTGCCATACATGTAACTAAAGAGTTTTTTTTTTTCTTTTGAGAGAAGCCTGCCCGGTTGTAGGGCATTGGTAATAAACTGCAACATGTTGATGAAAGGCCTATTCCCAGTCGCTTGGTTGCTATTGGAGCTATTTCATGCCAGCGTTCACGCAGGTACAAATGCAATTTGTTTCCAGTGTGTGTGTGTGTGTGTGTGTGTGAGAGAGAGAGAGAGAGAGAGAGAGAGAGAGAGAGAGAGTTATTATACGTGTAATGGCTGATCACTTTATTCGGTAGAACATCTTTATTCATGTATTTCTACTTTTTTTGTCACGTTGTCTGCAGCAGATTCATTAATCAATCATGAGCAAACATTTTCATTCGGACCCTTTGTTTTTATTTCTCATTTTTAAGCATGCCAAAACCTCGCAAAACTCGACCAAACTTATTATGCTAGCGGTACAGTCATAAAGTTTCTACACGATGTGACGGAAGGGGACTGTGAATTCGGCTGCCTCGTCAACTCCCTGTGTCGCTCAGCCACGTACCACAAGGTATGGAAAACGGTTTTCTTTAATTCTGACAGCTGAAATGAATAAACAAGTAAAAAAATATGCACATAGTATGAAAATCTAATAACACAAAAACACATGAATGGAAAACTCTCATACATACAGTTACATTCCCACGCGCTCGCACCCATACTTGATCATTCGCTCCTCTGTATTATTATTATTATTATTATTATTATTATTATTATTATTATTATTATTATTATTATTATTATAAAAGGTATGGAAAACGTGCTGGCTGAACCCAGAGCTTCGCTCAGAGGGGTCCGGTCCGGAATGGGTGTCTTTCAGCAAGCCGTACGGATGCGTATGCGACATGGAAGTCAATTATGGCCAATATATGTCTGGAGGTACAGTGACACGTTCGTCTATAGGACATTCCTCAATATACATGTTACTACAGCCTCTCTCTCTCTCTCTCTCTCTCTCTCTCTCTCTCTCTCTCACAGGCCCGTAGCCAGGGGGGGTTTGGGGGGGGGGGGGTTCGAAAGAACCGCCCTTTTTGCTGGGAAAAGGTCCACTTTGGATAAAATTTGATCTAAGTACATGAAAGTTTTATGGTAAAAGGTCCACTTATTTAGAAAACGAACCCCTGGCTATGGGCCTGCTCTCAGGTGTTACCTTTTAAACTCAGTGGAATTCTTTTCGTCTTGTTATATTCCAAAAACTGTTAATAATCATTAGGATCACAATTTAGTCTATTTGACAGGGATTTTTTGGACGATAAAACAATGTAATTTGACTCAGTGTAAATATTTTGGAATGGTCCCTATCGGTCCTCGGCCTATTTGTAAATTAGACCCCTCATTCTTTCGCCGATCAAGTGTGTCCTGAAAACAGGAATAAATGACCAAAAGCAAATGAAATGGGAAATTAGTGCTCAATGTAGTTTATTCATAATAGTGTGCCTTTAAATTACCAAAGCAAGTGTTATAGAAGCTAGTTTACCTGCCTTCCTTACAACGGGGCCTTAGAGCGTGAATGCCCCAGTATCATTTGTATCAAGTACGGTTTTCACAGGGCAGAACTGATATGGCTCTTTGTATATTTTTTCATGTTTAACGTAGGAACGGACATACGCGCTTTCTATGTGAACAGCGGCGATGATTGTTCGGTGGAATGCTCTAAAGAAGAGAAATGCATTGCTGCCACCTATAGAAACAGCGATAAGGTATGTGGAAGAACCCACCTACAATGTATTTGGCCTATTACATGTAATTAATTTTGCATTTTATTATCTTTTATGTCAATAAGGACACTGAAGTTACTTATAGATATTGCTTACTTTAGGCAATGGTCATCAATAGCTTATTCGGTTCAAGACAAAAAGAGACAAAATAATTCAAACTTTAAATTTGATTCAAATGAATGCTGTAAACTTACATTGCCACCGGTACATACTTTGGTGATTTTCACNGAAGCATTCATGGAAACAAAAGAAATGTAACTTACCACCGAAAGAACTGAACAAGTGATAGAAGTTTTAGTTAAATAATTTAACGCTTCCATCGACCGTATGCTTAGTAGACTGGCACGTTAATTACACAAAATTTTCAATGCCTCACTGTCCTGATAGTGCACTTTTTCACAATTTATCATTTTAGGCTCACCAAAAATAACTTACTGACAAGAAAGCAGCTTACTTTCCAAAAGTCTTAAAAAAACTCTTCTGGGTATTTCTAACATCAATTTTTTATATTACTATTGTATTCGGGAGAGGAAGGAGGTAGTTATTATTGCTTTTATGTTGTTTTAATTTATTGAATAATTACTGTATTTGGTTTCTATATAGATGTGCTGGCTGCACTCCGCAGTGAAACAGAAAGGACAGGGGGATGAGTGGACAACCTACGTCAAAGAGGGACACTGCAGATATACCAGCAATGCCGCAATTGTTGGATAAAGCACACTGGTGCCAGCGCACACGCGCGCACGCACACACACACACACACACATGTACTCAAGTCAGCAAGCAAGCACGCACGCATGCTCACACACGCGCTGGCGCAATATATATTTGTAGTTGTACAAGTGTGAGGAAAGGATGACAAACAAAAAAACAGAAAAAATAAAATTATTGAAAACTCTTATGCCATCCCCTTGTCTTTTAGGTCTAAAATAATTTATTCATTAAAAGAAGAGTACACCAACCGCCAGAAGAGAAGAATAAATAAATAAAAATAAAGCAGGGAGATTAAAGTAAATAGATAAATAAAATTATAATATTCAAATTATGTCTACCTTCATGTCGAGAGTGTTACATCATTAAAATATACCTGTTGATGTTCAAAAATGAGAATTCTTAGTTAGAGGAACCTCTCAATTTTTGTCAGACTTCCAAATAGTTGCTGTAGTTCCAGATAGTATTGCAAGACGGGCGAAACAATGATAAACGACTCGGATAATTATAGGTCCTTCAGTCATTATCCTTAAATAAAAACTTTCGTATCATCATACGGAAAACATTATGACTTTCCACATTAAAATGTTTTTTTTCAAAAAGAAAAGGGTATTAGTTTTCATTTTCAATCAGAAAAAAAGGCGCACTGTGTCGTCCTTGAAAATTAAAGCACAAATTGCACATTTTCATCGTCAAACAAACAAAATGTAGTAATAATTGATCGTTTTACCGCGTTCTGCGACCACTCATCTAGTTTTCCGTTATGTTACAAAGGTTTACGGATTCCTCTATTGCGCAGAGACCATATATATATATATATATATATATATATATATATATATATATATATATATATATATTGTAGTAAACAAAGCACAATTTTACGCAAGTACGCAAGGCAGGCAAGGTACTGGGCTATACACAAGTTTGTAGTATAAGAGTGGAAAGCTTCAGTGGGGAAAATTGCTTAGTCTTGTCTCGTTTCCCTCATTGTTATACTGTTATTTTATAAGTAAGAAGGGAAAGCGGATACAAAAAGCGACAAGTTCCCGCCGCACCCTTCCCACGTTCCACCATTGGACACAGATATATTCTATTCGCCTAAATACTGGAGCTTAACAGTCAATGAAGTGAGCAGGGTATTTCAGCAAACCTTTTATTTATTTTCCAAACCGTGTCATCACAAGACTATTCAGTGTGCAGAATGTTTTTTTAGGTCGTGTTTGACAATCACGGATGCGTGCTATAATTGGGATGACGAGGATTTTGGATAGATTTCTTAAGCAGGGTAGCGCAGTGGACTACTTCCCGGTTTGCGGGCCTCCGTTGACCTCACTATGTAAGACGAGGAGAGCATACACACTAACTGTGTCGTTGAAGTTACCTGTGTCGTTGAAGTTGCTTTTGTATCGATGTGCGGGTTATCCTGAGCTTCACCTAGATATATAAACTTTAGTGAAATGACATGCACCAGTATGGGGACTGCTAGAATATACGGAGTAGCTTTGATCATTTCGATGTTTTTATTTGGTCAGTCATGGAGTGTAACGGATGGAGAAGGTAGGTCTTCGAATCCCTGATGATTTTTTGTAATTTCAAGGGGCAACTTTTAAGTAAACGAAATTTGATACATGTACTAATACACTATCTTGAACCAGTAAAAAAAGACATAAAAGAGGAGGCAGCTTTTATGATACAATTTGTGATGCGATCTTGGAGTTCATTCAACAGGGGCGGTAGGCTGAACATCAAATTAATTGAGACACCCCCCTACCTTTCCTCAAAAGTTAATTAAATTCTTATTCCTTATTCATTGCACCCCTACTGTCTACCGGAACCGACTTGATAACGCACTGTAGTTCAAAAATCTTTGTCGGCCACAGCAAAAAATAATTGCACACCCCGTAATTGGCTTAAGGATAATCTGTGATAACATGCAGTAGTTAAAAGATTCTGAGGCCCTAGTAGAGACCCATAGGCCTCCACTGGTTTTGAAATCTGACTGTCGCACACTACCTGTTTCAAACAGGGCTGGTCAGCAGTTAATGGAAAAAATGGGTCGTTCTTAGACATCGTGGATGGAATAGAGAGATAGATGGATAAAATTTGTGAGATATATCAGGGCTGCAAAAATGCTAGGGGCAATTTTTAAGGTTTACAACAAGTGCAAGCAGGATTTTAGTATCCATGTATACGCTGACTGAAGCTGAAGTATGATGGACTGGGAGAAAGGAGAAGGTTAATACAATGTCAAATGTAATTCTGCTTTAAAGTAATGTAATAAAAAAGGAAGCAATAAGTATGTTATTTTTCAGCAATACAACGCTTAACATTGGAGTCGACGAGCGAGTAAATATGGTGAACACTGTATTTGAAAGGTAGTGTCTGTATGCGCAAGTTAAATGAGCGCCCGTGGTCGCATTTCAATGGATTATTTACGTAGGCTCTCTCAAAATACTGCTCATGTTCTTATGTTTCCTAAAAAGAAAAAGCAAACGACACTGCCTTTTTAAAAGAAGGTAATGCCTGAAAAAATAGTTAAGGCTAACACGCCGAGTATATATTTCGATGTTGTAATGCCGCTCTTTCTTTGCCATCAGTTTCACATGGCATAACAGTCCAGGTATTCAGAAATCGCTCATGACAGTTTCTTTGTTTCATTACACGCAATGTTTAAAAAATTTTTCCAGCTTAGCATTATATTTCGCTTAAAACAGGTCATTTTTTGTGCGACATGCTACAGAACTGACGCCACGACCCGACGTTCTGATTATGCATTTCATTCACGCCACTAAATAAGGAAAAACGCGATAATGTAACGCAGATCACATGTCAAAAAAAGAAGTACCTAAATTATAGACCTTGGGAAAGATACAAAAGTATCACCTTTCTTTAGATTTATCACTTGATCGAGCCTGCCAGTGTGTTTTCATATGTTTTAACCTCAGTCAGTGTTATTTATTTATTTCAACTGCGCTGAACATGAAAAGGCCTGCAGGTCTCCGTTTGATTATAAAAGCTTAGGTAAAGAGACACAACGATTGTTAGAATGCATTATACGCCCTTAGGATAAAATAGAAGGAAGAAAAGCATTTATTTGTAATCATTTGACATCTATATACAATGGATCCATATGGATAGGTTACGTCTGAAAACTATTTCACTACGATAAAAAAGTTGATAGAAGAATGTTTGTAGCTCGGGTAAAATGAATGGAGAAAAAATGTCGGTCGGCAGTAAAAGTTGTCCATATTAAAGCAGTGAAGAGGACCTCTAACCCTTGGAATATTTTCTTTCTCTTTTCTACTCGCGGCGCGCGCGCACGCCAAGAATTAATGTATTGGTCGTAGATTTGATCTTTTTCTCTCTTACATTTCGCCAAATAGTTCTGCCAAATATTTTAATTCACTGGCACAGGCTTTATTTAACGCTGGGGTTTAAGAGGCCCATACAATCAATCATTTTTGAGGACAAATAGGCATATTAAACATAATATAAAGATAGATTTGTTGGTAAAATGAAAACCATTATATCATGTCGACAGTTCAATATTTAAAATTGTACAAAAGGACATCCTTTAATTATAGTTTTAAAAGTAACGGAGCAAACTGAAAACAGAAGTTAGTTTCCAGTTTTCTCCGAAACTCAGCGTGATCCTTTTTGATCGTAAATGTTCTAAGTATTTGGGCCCTTCTATTTCAATTTATTATTATTATTATTATTATTATTATTATTATTATTTAAACAGTACGTATCAGGAACAACGGCTCATTCTCAGACCTAGTCTACGGTAGAGTAGAAGTCGACCACTCCGGCCAGTACGGGACTATATGCAGTGCACGCTGGGGACAGACTGAGGCTGACGTGGTGTGCAGGCAACTGGGCTATGCCTTTGGTACGGCTGTCACGGGACTGTCGTACGGACAGGTGTGTAGGATAGGACTTAGATGATAGAACGGTTTTATTATTCTCTCTCCCTCTCTCTCTCTGTCTCTCTCTCTCTGTGTTCCAGTCCCATGTATAATTCAGAAAAGCACCCAGAGAGAGCACTCCTCCGCCAAAACATCCAACCAAAATTTAACCATGATCTAACTGAATCAAAATAATCTTCACCAAAAATTTAAATCACTCTTAAGTCGGCCCATTTTCGACCTATCTGAATCAGCCCTCAAAATCCTTCCGTAACTTTTTGAGTTAGGCTAATGACGAACAAACGGAGAAGCAAAAAAAAAAAAAAAACAAACAAACAAACGGAGGTGAAAACATAACCTTCTTGGCAGAGGTAATAAACATACTAAGGATGTCTAAGGGACCGTTTTTTAAAGATATTTTGTTAAATCTCTTGTGTTCTAAGTACTTCCACGCAATGGATTGCAATGAATTCCTCGTTTTATCATTATGTTTTCATCCAGGCTTCAATTAAACAACGGTATCTCATCTACAGGTACAAGTACAGTATATTAAATCCAATGACGAGTATTTTTCAGCAGATATACCTAAACAGAGTAATGCATTCCATGGTATTTTCCTTTACTTACTTTATTATAAAACTTATAATCATCATTAACTGTGCTGTTTTACTAGGGGACGGGAACTGTCTGGTTGTCAAGTGTCAGCTGTTCCGGAAGTGAGGCCACACTAGCAGACTGCCATATTGTCACGTGGGGTGGTGATGTCACCTGTGGTCACGAGGAAGACGCGGCTGTTGTTTGCTACAGAAATAATCCAGGTAGGAGGACATGGATGAGTGGTTACAATAACTGATAAAAGCACACACATTTACACTTTCCATGACACATTTTGACTTCACTGTTTTAAAAACTCACACTTGAGTTTTACATGTATTTTATTTATAAGCTATTTAAGTAGGGTGAAAACGTCAGAATATAGATCTAGCGTCTAAATGCCCTCGGAGACGAGAATGCAGGCAGAGTAACCCTAAATTTTATAAAATGTCCACGTGCATGGAAAGCATTTTAGCCATAAAAGAACTGTACAAAAGTAAAAGAAAAAAAAACTCGCAGATAAATGTCCGTAGGTAGAAATTAAGTACTAGTATAATTTGAATTATAAACAATTGTCAATAAAAGTTAATTAAAACGTGCTTTATTCTTGTATTGGGGCAAGAATAGCTCAATAAGGGACACCTTTGTGTATGTTAAACCATAAATCATAAAGGCAATCACATTCTTGCGTGTTTCGCATGCTTGTTAAGAATTCTACACAAAGAGGTGCGCTAAAGTAAACGTAAGACTAGCACCACGCTTGGGGAATTATGCTGACGTAGTTTTGAGGTAATGTCGTAGCCCGATTGTTGAATTTGAACCATGCGACGAATGGAAATTAGCCGTATTTTTATAACTTGCTCCATCCATACAAAATCCCATGCCCTCCATGTAATATTTAACTAAGTACAAGGAAGTATTTGACTAGCAGCAACACGTTTTTCTGTTCCGTGTCACGGTTCACCACTAGTTCTTTCAATGGAATAAAATTACTGCCCTACAACGTGGGTCGCGGTTTCACAAAAGAATTTTGGACCCAAGTTTGGTGTTTAAGATATTCAGACCCAAATTTGGTATTTTTTTCAGTTCAAAATAAAACTGTTATGGCTCATTAGATTAGAATAACTATAACTCTTACACAGAAACCATATTTCACTGAAGTAAACTACCACTGGTTTTTGTTACTCTCACTCTATAACAGAGGCTAGCTGAGTCATGAAATTAAGTTTATGTAAAAAATCTTGCCTGACAGCAAAAAAAGACTCCAAAACTAGCTGTAGACAGGCTTATCTGTGAATATCTAGTGAAAAATCAAGCTGTGGCCTTTGGTTTAGCTGGGTAGCTTTATCCTGGGTTTAAAAATTTAGACCAAATTTTGGTCTAGGGCTCCTTTGTGAAAAAGACCGTAAGTATTAAGCGTTTTAAATTCCAGGGGAGGGTGAGATTCGACTAGCTGGAACACATTTCTCTGGCCGTGTTGAGCTGTTCCATAATGGCGTATGGGGTACTATGGCCAACATTGACCGCACGACTGCTGACGTTATTTGCCGCCAACTCCACTACGATTATGGGAAAACTGAATCACTTGTGGTAAGTGTAGCTTGGGTTGGGGAGCATTCTCCAAGGGCAGCAGCTTTATTAATTAAGCGTCCCTCAAATAGATATATTTATGTCTCCTCCATCTCAGTGTACCACAAACTTTTATAGTCTCATTCATAGCAAGAAAGAAGGCAACAATGAATATTGATTGTTCGTTATTTGGCCAAACAGGGCCGCTTTTATTATATAACCCCTCCATCCTAATCGTTTTAACAATAATAACAATGTAGCAAATTGTTGCCTGTATTAAATGTTATGGCCTTAGGGGTAAAAATTATATATCAAATATTCAATAAGACTCATCATCCTAAAAATTATGATGCGACGAGTCAGCAAAAGTAATTATTTACCAACAATATATATTTACAGGACACCACAGTATAAATTGATCAGTAGATCTTCTTGTTTACTGAAAGTATCATGTCTATATGACTATTATTACACATTTTAGCCGCACGCGGATGCAAGCGTCCCCGTGCACGCTTCACGTGTAAGATGCAGTGGACCGGAGGCGCAGCTCAGCGCGTGCGCAGTAACGTGGGCAGTCAATGCACAGAGCTCACATAATCACTCTGGGGACGCGGGTGTGGTGTGCTTTCAAAATGAGTGTAAGAAAGACTAAGTCTATGTTCAGCGTGTAATTGACAGTATAATTCTTGACTTTCTTTCTCATCTTTTACATTGCTCAGAGTTGTTTTGTACGTTTTTTGTTTTTGGTGATTCGGTACAGGAACGATGAATTGAATCTGTACTGTTCCCCAGATTTAGCAGTCTTTTTAAAACCAAAAGATTTTACTATCAGGGCATCTGTGATGTTTATTCGACAATATCGTCAAATTCTAATAATTCTAAGAACAACTACACTAATTCTATTCAACCATATTGAAACGGTCACGACGGGGAGGCACCAGTCAATGGGCACCCTCGTTCTAAAAGAACAGTTTCTTGAACACCTGTCATCTACTCTGCATTTTGGTGTTGCAGCGCCTTCCGTCCGCCTAGCGGGTGGAGGAATGAATTACGGCCGAGTGGAGGTGCAATATAACGGGATATACGGGAGTGTCTGTGACACGAACTGGGACTACAGAGATGCCAAAGTCATTTGCAATATGCTTGGCCTCTCATATGGGAAACCTCTCAGGAATTCCAGGTAAGTAAGCACTGCCAGTGTTTTGTCATTGCTTGGGATTTTGAATAGGGAATGTTATGATCCACCCTACACAGAAATAAACCAGTAAGATTTTGTTTTTTAATTTGCATTAACTTACACCCCGTTGGTTCCAATTCACTTAGATACTCGTAAATGCGCAACATACAGTCGTACCCGGTACCACNAAGTTGGATTATTTTTGTTTCAGAAGCTTATTCTATTTTATTGTCTCTATGGAGGTATATGGGGACTTTACGACATTCGGTTTGAATTAAGGCTTTAACCACTTGTTATAGTTTATTTTTGCATTGTATTGGATTAATGTGGTAGTCCAAGGTTGTTCTAGGTGGTTTTCAAGTTTATGCGCCCGGTTTTAATATCATTTAGCGATTTTACGACAATCGTTTACTATCCAATCAAGGTGACAGCCGAGCGTGCCCGGTACCAGTAGTTAAGAACATGCACAGTTTGAATGTGTCCCATGCAATTTGGTAGTCCAGGGTAGGGCATAGAGGGTATATACTGTACGTGCTTCTCTCTTAGCTTTTGAGCTACCGCTTCCCCTTTTCCCAACCACACACACACAAAATAACTACCAAAGCAACCAAGCAACTCCACCCTCTCCCTGTGTCATACATATCATTGTAAAATAGTTACTGTTTATTTTCGGCGAGCATAGAGAGTCCAAAGCATTCAATCCCGCCATCTTTAAGAAGAGGAAGTGAAAAAATATGATCCTTGATCCGTGCTTAGTGAGTCAAAACATTTTATCCTTGACCTCCTCGTGCAAAATCTTACCAGTGTTACACGTATGTTTCATAACCGTTTCAGATTCGGTGGCGGTAAAGGCATCATATGGCTAAACAATGTGAACTGCCAGGGATCCGAGGCAGTGTTAACATCGTGTAGTTTTAACCTCTGGGCCACAAATCTTTGTGATCATAATCACGATGCTGCAGTATACTGTTCAAATGAAGGACTAGTCAGCGGTGTATTTGGTGAGTATTTTCGTATGATGTCGCATTTAACTTACCACGGCGGTCCACTCGTTTTAATGCTGAAAATGATTTTATTTTAGAACATTCTGTTTTAGAGAAGGGGTGCCTCAAAAGTTATGGAGATCGTGCTTTTATAATCTACGCCCCAAAAGGGTGGAATGGTCTACCAAATTTTATTAGAAAAACAGAAGACTTTGACAAGTTTAAATCTCTTTTAAAGACCCACATTTTTAATTCTGTCTATATCTCTTAGATTTTTTTAAATGTATATATGTATTTTAATAAGATTGATTTTTAGTAGTGTAAATTTTAAATGGTTTCCAGTGAGAGTTTATGATTAAAATATTGTAGTCATTTTAATGATTTTAGTATATTAGCCATTATTGTAAGGCGCCTTGCGATAGAATGTAAGGCGCCATATAAGAATCTTATTATTATTATTTACTTAGTGTATTTGTTTTAAAGTACTTTGTACTGTTAAGTTAAATATAAAATCTGTTTCCCATGTTTTCACACAAAGCAAGGCAAACAGTGGACAAAGACCTTATTTTATCATGGTGCATCCAACAGAAATAAATCTGGAACAAGATATTTGTTGATTTGGATATATTACACTCCGGCACAATACAAGCAGAATGTACTATATTATATTATATTATATTATATTATATTATAGTATATTATATTATATTATATTATAGTAAGAGTTGAATCCGCATTTTATGAACCAGAATAACAATTCCTATATAGGGTTCATTTCACTGTTTATTTGCTAAACCTGCAAATATGAACGACGTGTTGAATAAACAATTAAAGCAACGTGATCAAGTGATAAAGAACTGGCAAAGGAAACTCAAGTGTCGAGACTATATTGGCCAATGGAAAACGAGAACGTATAAAGAGAGAAAATAAGGCCTGAAAATAAGGAACGGCAAAAGAATAAGATAAATTGAAGTAGAGTGGTGAGCAATATAGGAAACTCATGGTAAACAAAGGAGTTTTAAAACACTCCTTGGGTATGAGCAAAAATGTTCATCAGCTTGGTAGTTGGATCACACATGAAAATTCTCAAATACAAGCCTAAAAATTTCCGTACCGTTAGCTCACGGCCAACATGGTCGAAGGCCTTCATCAGACTGGTGTGAGTAGTTGTTCACACTCACTGACCACTAGGTGGTATAGCGGCCAAGACCCTCCTATAAATGTCAGGTAGATCACCCCCCCCCCCCACCCCCCACCCCCTGTCCCTATTCATGTGATAGACACCAGCCACAGTATCGACTGGAATTCAACTAAGATCCTTGAATCTGAGTCATCCGACATCCCGCGAAAAATACGAGAGGCTATCAACATCAGCCGTCACCTGCCACCTATGAATAGGGACGGGGGGAAGGGGGGTGATCTTCCTGACATTTATAAGAGGGTCCTGGCCGCTACACCACCTAGCGGTCATTGAGTGTGAACAACTACTCACACCAGTCTGGTGAAGGCCTTCGACCAGGTTGGCCGTAAGCTAACGGTACGGAAATTTTTAGGCTTGTGTTTGAGAATTTTCATGTATGACTCCTTGGGTAAACTAAACGTGACTCTCTTTCTCACTTTCTCATTTGGTTTTATAGGTTATGACGAGATTCGCCTTAGTAATGGCAGCGTAGGTTATGTGGAAATACGACGCAACAACACATGGGGTGGTATTTGTGATGACGGGTGGAGTGACAGATCGGCAAATGTCGCCTGCAAAGAACTGGGATACAAATCTGTAAGGGATCTTGGTTTTCTGATTTTTTTCTGTCGGTTTAAGTGGTGTGTTTTCATAAAAGGGCAGTCTGGCAATGCACTGACCTTTGGTAGGCCTACATGAAACAGTCAGATCATTTTTTTGCCCTTGAACACAGTAAATGCATTTTTATTAGCTGTACTAATAAAAGATTAAAGGACTGCCAGGTATATTGATACTGATTGCCTACAATGAAAGATCAACATATCAACCGACTTAAGTTCTACGTGTTCTGTTAACATTCACGAGTGCGGGGGAAGGGGGAAGTTTATTTTCATCTCCATCGCGACTTTTATAATCTGATAAATAAAATAAATCATGCTGAATATTGCTTTATAGTGATAATATGATAAATGTAGTTGCCAAAACCTGCTGCCGATTTCTAGAATTAAGAAGAAATTTTATTTACGAATAATGTTTTCATGTGTATTTTGAGTGATACTCAGTCTCTCGTAGTTCTATAAAGAACTGCCATGTTTTATTGTTCTTAACTTGTATTTCTTTTTTTATGGGCGAGACTTAAAATATCTTGATCTTGATCTATGACTTACTTAGGGAAGAGCGTATAGGCAATCAAGACACGGGATTGCCTCTCGAGGTTTCTGGCTGGATTACGTACAGTGTACCGGACAGGAACCGTCTCTGTCCTACTGTCTACACTCTCAGTGGACCCACGACTGCTTCACTGACGAGACGGCTTCAGTAGAATGTTTTGGCACCGAAATAGGTACCCAATATTTTTACAACATTATTATGTGAATAGATTGTGGAAACATTAGATTATAATAATGCAGTTTGTGAGGTATCCAATTAGAAGCAGCGAGTGTGCCCTTGTGGTATATTGTGAGTTAGTAGACGATTGGACGCGGATGATGTAAAGATTTGCTTCTTTAATGGTTATTATATCTTTTGAACGACACTTACCATTTTTATACCGATTATATTTTATGACTTTTCTTTTGCATGTGTATTTACATAGATCTACATAGATTTACATAGAGTTTATCATAGATCTTAGGTAGTCCCACCTGTTATAATAATAATAGAAACAACTAATAATAATAATAATAATAATAATAATAATAATAGACCGCGCTTCACCATCTTTTTCTATTACACTCATTTAGCCTCCTCCCTTGACTGCGATTTCGAATACAATGGCCTGTGCAACTACACCAACAACCGATCCTCCGAGATAACGTGGTTGCTACACTCCGGGAGTACCAATAGCCGCCTGCGGTCTGGTCCTATAAACGATCATACGTATGAGAATGCCGAAGGTATTTACCTACACACAATGGACAATAGAAGTGTCACCCCCTGAATCAGAGTAATCAAATAATAATCAAGTAATCAATAATCAAAGTAGGCAGATCTTGAGTAGTTACAATGCCTGGTCTACATTTTGTGTGTGTGTGTGTGTGTGTGTGTGTGTGTGTGTGTGTTTTTGTGTTTTTTTTGTGTGAAATTTGATGTTAATAAAATGATACCAGGAGCATATCATTCCACAGTCGTTTATCTCCCCCATAGTATTGGTTCAGTAGGGGTGACACTTCCATTGTCCATTGTGTGAACTTAATCTTAAGGTCCATTCAGAACAGCGGACTAACTAGTCCACGGGTCAAATATGGCCGACCCACTTGAATACTTCCCCAAGGGAGATCTGTACAGTGTTTATTAGCGGATTAGACGGCAAGCTTTTTAGTCGGTCGCCGTATTTGGCCCGCGGACTACTTAGTCCGCTGTTCTTTATGCAGCCTTAGGGTCTGTATTATACCAGGGATTATTGACGTTTTCAGTGCAGCTTAAACACTGTTTGCTTTGACCCGTGTGCTCCCAGCCATCGCATGGGATGAGCATGTGAATTAATGTATAAACCTCGAACAAATTTGTATTTATTCTGTATTGATTGAAAATCATTATCTAGGCTATTATTGCTGCTGCTTCTTTCAAGTTTATATCTAACACATTTAGATTTCTTAAAATATTTTTTAAATGGGCGCTTACAAATGTATCCCTTATGTATTACATTTAAAACAAATGTGTCCCTTTCTTATTTTCCAAGGGCATTACATCTATGTTGAAGCGTCTGCAAATGATGAGAAGAAGGCGCAGTTGATTTCCCCGGCCAACACCGTATCCTCCCCCACGTGCCTTTCCTTTTGGTATCACATGTTTGGTTACGACACCGGACACTTGAATGTGATACGGCGTTCAACAAGCGGGGTCGACGAGATGGTTCTTTGGCAACGAAGCGGTCCGCAGGGTGAGAAATCATAATTTTAAGCGATTTTTTAATATTTGTTTTATAGAACTTTTTATGTTTATCATAGATCTTCACTTTTTAATTGATTTGATCATTTTCCTAAGTAAGCTGAAAAGTTTGTAGCAATTATGCTGCAAACCAAAAGTTTGCGGCAACGAGTTTGCAAGAGTTGGCAAGAAAATTCTATTACTTCTAATTTGAAGCAAACTTGCTGCAAATGTGGAAGAAGGGGTTGCAGTTTGCAGCAAATTTGCGACAAGCCTGATATTTTGCTAAGGGTTATTCTTTTAACGGCAATTCAGGAAAAAATTCATTAAATGCCTTATGCACTTAAAGTAACAATATGCCTAATAGATTCGTCCAACAAGGCTAGCTAAAGCCTGATTTTGCTGCTGCTGGAAGAATCTACATGTATTATCGTAACTACCGGCTCCAGTCGGTTTAAAGAAAATGATAACTGCACGATCGTCTAATTTCAAAGGTAACACATGGAAGCACGCGGAGATCCAGCTGCCAGCGGGGACCTACCGTGTTGTGTTTGGGGCGAAGATAGGTTTGGGTTACACGAGTGACATAGCCCTAGACGACATCACTGTACAGGCAGGACAATGTAAAAACACAGGTAGTGTTATCCAGACAGGGCTACATCCAGCAAACACAAAACGTTTATTTACGTTACAATAACTATGCCATAACGGGTGAAACGTTATGGTAACGTTATAATAACGTGAAACGGCAGTTCTACGCCTTTTCGGATCTGTTTTGTTAAGTGTCAGATTTTACAATGGGTTGCACAACATACCTGAAAGTGCTCATTCTTTTATTTTATTGTATAAGTACAAGAAAGTTAGAATTAGAATTTTCATTTAGGAGATGCATGTTCATCAATCTGCTATGTTGGTCGCCAATGAAATTGTGTTACTTATTTTGATTTAGTTGTGAGCACTGTTTTTGTTAACAGAGGATGGAATTAAGTCTAAGAAAAAAAAAGAAACACTACTGCACTAGAAGTTCATGTAAATTATATCTCTTTTTTTAAAGCAGATTATTTACTTTGGTAGCGTTGTACGCACGTCGGGTAATCCATAACGAACAGTACAACACAACACAACGAATAAATACAACTAGCACAAGTGACCTTTATTGTGAAGATATTATGGTTTTTGAATCAATTTAAAATATTGGCTAGCTTGGTAAATGTATCGACCAAATGTAAATTATTAAATGAATCAATTTCAACCATTTCATATTCCAACAGATGGCGCTCACATAGGACTGTATGAGATAGCTAACAGTGACCCGGCAGTGAGAGTTGAAGCCAACGGAAAGTGGCGTTTTATTTGTTTTGAGGGATGGGACTACCGAGATGCTGTGGTCAGTCGTACTTTTATTTATTAATAAAAAAGAAAATATTTGTACAACTTGTAAAAGGCTTACGCTTGTTGCTTTGGCCCATTTTTCATTGAAAACACGCAACATTTTGTGATACAGCCATTTCAGAGATTAGATGGGCATAATTACTTATCTTTATATGTAATTGGTCCCATAATACTAGATACTTCGCAACATATATCACAATCGTAGAATTTGACATAAACGTTGTCTTTTTTGTTATTAATTAAAATCAATCATGAGCCAATGGCACACAATGTCAATCCTTGTAAAACATATTGTAGACGATGTCAACGACAGCGACCGAGGAATTGGTGAAGTCTAGTATTTTGAGTACAGTAATTTAAGCTAAAACATGACAATATCACTTGATCTTCTATCTTGGCGGATATATCTCCGTCCTTATGGCATTTTGATCGTACACTGTAGGTTGCCTGTAAGGAGCTGGGGTACCAATACGGACGGCCCGGTAAGATTAGGCTGGTCGGGAGTCTCGTCTACAGTGTTCACCAAAACATACGCTGTACAGGTTCAGAAACGTCGTTAACAATGTGTAGTGGGGAGTTTTCCGAGCCATTCAAGTGTCGTCACAACCAAGTGGCTACGGTGGGGTGCACGTCAACTGTGGGTAAGTATGATCCAAGGCCCCATTCCCATAGCCTGTGTTCCTATAAACCCATCGTACTAGCTTGATTGATCTAAGTCTGTTGGGTTTCTCACTAATGTGCTTTCATTTTACAATTGCTAATTGATGGGGGTTATTGACTATCGTTTAGCAGTTTGAGTAGGAGCGTAAGACATTTCGAGCGTTTTCACTGAATGCGATTTAGCGAGAATCCCTGCAGAGTTAGATCGATCCAGCTAGTGGGTTCATGGAAACACCCCCCATACACCCCATTTCCATAGATTAGATCGACCTACTTTAGATCGACCTAACTCCCTGGGGGTTCACGCTAAATAGCTGTCAGCCGGGCGGACACGAAAGTTAATTATCCCCTTACAGCTTGTAGTAGGCGGGACGGACATTTAAGTCGGATTATCTGAAAGTAATCTAGTGAGACTCCCCGCGGGGATAGATCGATCTAAAATCTATGGGAATAGAACCTATAGACACCATCGGTCAACGTAGATCGATCCAACCCCGCGGGGTTCAACAGATTAACACGTCCCCCTTTTCAGAAAAGCCAGTGATTATACGAGCACGTTGGAAACAAGAGGAGGCTTGTCATTCAGTTAAGCTGATTGCACTCAGCGAGAGTCCCGGCAGAGCTTGGTCGATCTACGTAGATCGATGGTGTCTATGGGAGTTGTGTCTAAGTGTTAATATCTTTATATACAGAAGGCTGTATTTCAGTGCATTCTACGACTGCAGTGTTCAGACACCGGATCCGTGAGAGCAATCACGCCAATATTGCTCGAGATCGAAACTTCAGCATTGTGATGATTTTTCATTCCAGTGCCAAGCGATATCTACTTAGTTGGTGGCAGCCAGCCCGGGAGCGGACGAGTGGAGATTGTGTATAATGGAGTCCGTGGAACAATCTGCGACGACCATTTTGACGACAATGACGCCACAATAATTTGCAGGCGACTTGGCTATGTGAGGGGCAAGGCTTTGAGAGGAGCTTTGTAAGTGGAAATTAACGCCAATTGACGTCCATGTCGTCCCCAATATTTGTTAATATTAATTTTTAGCCATTTTATGAACAATAATCAAGTAAACAATTACGTATGGAATGCAGAATATAACCCCAACAAACGTTTATATCATCTATGCTGTATACATGCGGGTTAGCATACATGTACGTGTGCAGGTGCATCAAATTTTACATAATGTAGTCAGGCGTCAAATTGCTATACATTTATATCCAGGTCCCTTACCATTGTCATCTCTCTATAAATCTATTTCTAGTTTCGGCCCTGGAAACGGATCTATAGTCCTAGACGAATTGTCCTGTTACGGACTGGAGCCGGACGTAAACTTTTGTGGTTCCGTTAGCGGCCAGAGCGTGGACTGTGACCACAGCGAGGATGCCTCCGTGGTCTGTTATAATACAACTGCCCCCACCAGTACGTATTGGTCAGATATCCCAAGTTTAATTCCCGGTGTGACGAAAGTGTGGGTCCGCGTAATGCCCCTATTTCACACAGACCACGAATCCCACGAATCGCCAGGAATTGACAAATTTCAGGATTCCTGGTTGAATCGTAATAAGTTCGTGATTGATCAAGATTTGCAAGAACTGACTACGAATATATACGAATCTTTTAAGAACTTCATGGACTGATTACGATTCAACCACGAATCCTGAAATTTGTCAATTTCTGGCGATTCGTGGGATTCGTTGTCTGTGTGAAATAGGGGCATAACAGAGAGTCCAACCGACATTTAATTATAAAGGTTAGGGTTATAGCCTGTCGTAGGTGGTCTAACTCCAGGCCCGTAGCCAGCTAATTTAAAAGGGGGTTCTTTTTCAATGAAACTTATGTGTACCTAGATCAAATTTTACCCAAAATGGACCTTTTCCTGACAAAAAGGAGCGGTGCTTTCTAACCCCCCTCCCCCTCCCCCCC